GCCTGGCCCAGGACACCCGTTGCACCTGTCGGCCACGGCCTATTCATGGAGGACAAAGGCCTCCCTATGTGTGCTCCATTGAAGCTTAAATAGGAAGAGCTTTGTGAAGCGAAATGTTTAGGCATAAATAACCTTGCTCTCCCTGCTGGTTTGAATTATGCCACCACTGAGCTAAGTGATCGCTGAGGGCATGTTTCCTCTCTGGAAAACATGTTCTTTGGAGATGATGACACTTCAGAAAGGAAAACCATTTAAACAGCAAACTCCCCAAGGACATGGAGGCTGCAGAATTTCTCTGTGGTAAAACCAAAATTGCTATGGGACCAGGTCAGAAAGAAGAAAGCTGCGTTTCCCTTGAACTACAAACTGCCCTTTGCTGGTTGAGAGTCTTCATAGTTCAGGGGACACTGAATTCTGAATGAATACCCCAACCTAAGCTATCTAGTGAGAAAGGGGGGTCGGCTCAGCAAGAGGGCCTTGGGGAGGGCGCCATAGAGGTGAAGTAACAGCATCTGAACACTAGATGGCAGCAGCCACACACACGTAAACTTCATAGGAGCGTATGTCTTCCCTGGTCAGGGACTCAAGCGGGAACTGAAGACAGTGCATTCTTGGAGTATTTTATTTTTACCTTTCTCTTCTCCCATGGGAGGCTGCGATGCCATGTAGGTGAGAGGAGAGAAGTTCTTGTTTCCAAATGCATTATACATGGGGCACAAGAAGAAGGTCATAAAAAAAGATAACTGCTGTCAGGGCATTTGATCATGAATCTGGTCTAAATAAACCAACCATGCACCGTGTCCACTAAATTAGGGGTCTATGCACTTCTCAGTACAGGGCCAGAGAGTAAACATTTTCAGCTTTCAACCTTAAGATTCTGTGGCAATTACACAACTCAGCCATCATAGCATGTAAGAAGATACAGACAATATGTAAACAAATGCATGTTGGCAGTCTTCTAATAAACTTTATTTCCAGAAACAGGGACTGGGCCACATTTGGCCCCATGGGCCACAGTTTGCTAACCCCTGCGTTAAATCAACATGAAACTCTACCTGGCCTGTTTAGCTTGGTCCCTACGCACTCCTGACACATGCAGGGTAACTTGACTTTTCCCAAATCCATGCAAACCCTTCCTTGCTGTGTGTCTCTTGAACTAGAACTCTCCCTTCTGCCTTGCACACAACAACAAAGTCAGCTGACAAACGCCACCAGTCGGGGCTGCATTTAGAACCTTTTCGTCCCTCCAGTCCCTGGTCATCCCCTCCGTGGTCACCACATCACTCATCCCCATAGCTACTGAAACACACAGCTGTGGGCGGTCAGTCCACATCTGCTCGAGTGCTGAATTCTTCACACTGGTCCCTCTACTTGCTCCCCCAAATTATCCCACTGGAGCCAGGTCATTGTGTCCATCACCTCTTGGCTGTTGTCATCCCCTGCCTCAGAGTGGCCCAACTCTTGCTGAAAGATGCCCTTCTTTAGCGTCTGGCTTACCCTTCACAAGAATGCTCCATGTGAATTTCATCTGCTGGCCCTGGAAATGCCCTGGGACCTTACCTGGGCACGCTCACAGCATTTCCTGCCTTTGTCATCGCCACCTGTCCCAGCCGACTGTCCCCACGCTCCTGGTGAAACACCACCCAGCCTGTGAAGCCCCCCTGACAAGAGGGAAGCGCCTCATCCACTGGTTTCTTAGATGATTTGGTTTGTTCCCCTCCCTTGGAGCTTAGTCTGTGCTAATCTTGGGGTGTCGATGTGTTTAACTGCCGACGAACAAACTATTGTGGCTATTTGTTGTTGTTGTTATTGATTTTCAATTATAGCGAATTGAGGTCAGAGAATGTGGTCTGAAGGGTATTGATCTGGAGGTATTCTGACTCTCTTGGGCACAGTGCTCTAATCAATTCTGGGAAATGTTTTCAAAACACACATGCACTTGAGAAGAATGTAGGTTTTCTAATTGCTGGGCTCGAGTTCTACATACACCCGTCACCTCTCTGTTTTAGCCTTTTATCTGTTCTACACCATCAGGGGACTCGTACTCCTCCACCACGACTGAGGTTTTGCCTAATCTTCCTTGAAATTCTGACACTTTTTCTGAACCAAGTCGTGGTTTCTGTTGCTAGGTGCGTGCAAATGCAGGGTCATTCTGGCATCCCGGCACTTCGCTTCTCTTTTCCTTGTATGGCTTTCTGCCTTGAAGTCTGTTTGTCTGCTACCAACACCGTAATACCTGCTTTCTTTTGATTCACCTTAGATCTTTTTCCATTTCTTTATTTTCAACCTTTCCACTTCATGCTTTACGTGGGCTACCTGTTAATTGCCTAAAACTGGAATTTTAAAATGCAAGCTCTATCTCTTCGATGTGTTTAATCTGTCAGATGACTTCACCTTCGTACACCTCCCCCCACATTAGTCGGTCTTTTTTCTTCTTCCTGCCTACCTTCCTGCCACCCTCTAGTCCCCAGCCTCCCATAAAACTGTAAGCTAAGGGCAGAGAAAGCTAAGCAGCCTTGCCTAGGGCCTGTTCTGCAAGTCACCACTCAAGGGCAAGATGACAGGCACTTGGGAAGGAAGAACCCCAATCGTAGATTTGTGAGTGGGGATAATGGGCTGTAGGATGGGGTCTGCCTGAGGGTGAGCTTTGCTGGGGGGCTCCCTGCCCACACCAGCATACTTGGGACACAGTGGTCAGGGTGGCAGAACTCCCTACAGCCTGTGACAGGGGATGGGGGCAGAGTGGGAGGACAGGGGGACATGAAAACCCCCAGTGACGCTTGTCTAGGAGAGGGTTTTCTGAGGCTGAAAATACTGAGACCTGCTGTCCCAGCCCAGCCAAGGGACCTTTGAGTTTATGCATCTCAGACAGGATGTTCGGTCAAGGGAAGAGAGGAACTGGGCTCAAAAGGTTTTGCTCTAATTTCTTCAGAAATATTTATAAGGACTAGCAGAAAGCGCAGGTGACAGAATAGAGGGACATTGGGGTTGACATCTTGATGTCACGGGAGATGTGGTACCGCCAGACAGCCTGGCCTGTGGGCACATTATCTGGGGAGGGCTGTCACTTGCCAGCACAGACCTGTAGTGCATGCAGTCACCATGCTCTGGGAGGACCTGGCCTTTGAACGTGTACAGGGTCAGCCCCCTAGGCTCCTCAGCCCTGTGGACACTGCCGGGCTCTGACATTTCTCATAGTCTAAACAAAGAAAAGACCAAAATGGCCATGCTGAGGGACAGAGAGCCACCCTGCCCTCGTACCCGGAGCCGGCAGCGCCGTTGGCAGAGCATTATGAACTGTAATCAGCCCTCGATCTGGGTGACATTTTTTACATCCTAAAGGCCCCTTCCATCTACCATCTCATTTGATTTCCACAACAGGCATCATGTAAACAGATGATGCCAGAAATAGGGCAAGGACATGACTTGGGAGTCTGACAGGTGGGAATAAGAAGGTGGGAACAGGGAAAACTGACCTAGAACATGTCAGCCCGCACCCTTGTTTGGGGCATCGTGGAGCAGACATGCCCCTTAACAGGGAGCCTTACAATTCAGTGACTGCACCTGACACGCAAGCCCCAAGTCAGCTGGGGGAATAGAGGAAAGGAGGTGACGGAACATGAAGGGGCCCCATGCAGGTCCAGTAACCAGGAGGCTGGGAAGGGTCCTGTGAGAAATGAGCACCCACCAGCCATGGTAAACAGACACAGGTTGATCACTAAAGAAGGTGGTACCATTGCCTTAGAGGAAGAAAAGTAGGTTTTGAGATTGCACCAGGCAGAGGGGTCAGAAACCAGTAGCCCCTGGGCCATCTCTTTGGTCTGGATTATGCTCTTAAAAAATCATCGTGAGTTCAAATGCTTTAGAAAACGCACGTATTGTCTATTTGAGGTCCACTTCTGTTTTCACCTTTCCCAACCGTCTCCACCCAATTGTCTCCAGGCAATCTTGTGACCCTTCATCCCCTGAAGGCATCTGAGTTGGTGCCCTTGAATGCAAGGCTCCACTCTGCTCTCCTTCGGCTGGGAGGCTATCCATGGTAGTCATGGATTTGTGAGCCTGGGTGGACCCTGTAGAGCTCATCGCCACAATGCCTGAGGATAAGCGCCCCTGGTGGTCCCCAGGGCACAGCCTTATCTAGACCCTGGTTAATTCAAGAGAGGTAGAAGACAGGAAGAATTGTCTATGGAAGTGACTGTCTGTGGAAGACGAGGGAAAATCAGAGTGACGGGCAGCTGGGCTGGGTCACCTGGGTGCCTGGTGGTGATGAGGACCCTGGAGCGGGGGCAGGCTTTGTATGACAGCACAGGGTGACAGTAAGCTCAACTCTGCACATGCTGAGTATGGGGACACTGTGGAACCTCTAAGTGGGGATGTCTGGAAGGTAGCTGGACTCAGAGGAGATGTTTGGGAGAAAAATCTAGGCTGAAGATCTGCTTGGGCATCAGCAAATAGATGGAAAATAGTCATGGTGATGGAGAAGGTTCCCCCCAGAGGGTGCACTAAGAAGAAAGCATACCCTAGAGATAGATCGCTGGGCAACGCCAACACCTCAGAAAGGGAAAGGGCCATAGGACAAGAGGCCCCCAGAAGACCCCCCAAAAGGACAGACGTGAGGAGGCGGAGCCAGGAGAGGGCAGCATCAAGAAAAAGGAAGTGAGGGCTTCAAAAAGGAGGGAGCGGTTGAAAGCACCAATGGTTGCCTTTGCTATGTTTTTCTTTTGGTCTTTAGCCTTTATACATTTACAGAGTTTGGAGGACAGCCTGCAATCATATCCATGTTATGCCTTCAAAGTGGTTCCCCACCAGATGGCTCATTTTAAAAACTTGGCCTAAACCTGCTGCTTTGATGGGGCACCCCTCTCAGGCATGAGCTCACCTGTCCTTCTCCTGGCCCTGAGGAGGGGGTGGGGGATGCAGGCTGCTCATCCAGGGAACAAGCATTTCCAGAGCACCACAGGGTGCGGGGCCACGCTCTAGGGTGGCACCTGCTGGCTTACCTGGCACTCTCGAAGGTGGCAGATGCTGTCTTTCCTATAGCCCCAAATCCAACTCCAACAGCAAGACCCTCTGAAACAGACACAGAAAAGCAGGCAGAGTTAGGAACAATTTTCCAGTAGGTTCATCACCATCTCTGTCTCCAGGAAGATCGCATTAGGTTTCCAGTAATAGAAAATCCATGTAACAGAATCTTAACCCAGGGGGTCAGCCAACGATGCTACTGCATATTTTTGTATGGCTTGCAAGCTACGAATGATTTTTACAGTTTTGAATAGTTGAAAAAAAAATCAAACAAAGAATAATATTGCATGGTACATGAATATTACATAATTTTAGTGTCCATAAATAAAGTTTTACTGGCACGCAGCTATGCTTATTTGTTGACAAATCGTTTATGGCTGGTTTTGTGCTACATCAGCAGAGATGAGTAGACGTGACAGAGACTTATGGCTCAAAGACCTAAAATACTTACTATGTGGCCCTTTAGAGAGTTTGATGACTGATTCCTGACCTAAAACACAGGGCTTTATTATTATTAGCTCATAAAACAAGAGGTCTACTGTTGATATGGCGGCCAATGATGTCATCACAGATATTTGAGGAGCCACCCTCAAATGGAAGAGATAGTTACAGTCCACTCTGAGATGGTGTGGCTATTGTCCAGCTTAAGCCTGAGGATGCGCGAGATGATTCTCTAAGTCCTTTCCAGGGGAACTCGTGAGCTTGCTGAATTCCTCGACACTCTAACTGTGATCAAGTGTGGAAGGGCCATGCTCGTCTCCAGGTATTTGATGGGGAAGTAAGGGCTTAGAAAAGAAATGGAACTGACCCAGTGGCCTGGAACCACTGGGGTGGAAGCGTAATGTTAAGACACGTTCTGACATCTATGGGAGAATTCAAAGATCGCTCTCAATCAAACAGGAAAGAACTGTCAATATTGGTCAGAATCCAGATCAAGGGCCTTTGGGGCCAGGAGGAACTTATGTTATGGAGACAGAAGAGGACATGATCTACTGAGTGAGAATTTCTTCTTTTGGGTTTCACCGTCTCTTGGAACGGACTGTTAGTCCTTGTGTTCTGTTCAGCTGGAGAGGACCCAGGGCCCGGGCGCTGTAATGACCCCAGGAGGCACCCGGGCATAAGGGGGCTGCTTAGACTTGTCCTATGTTAGGGGCTAAGAGCTCGGCTTTTGCCCAGTCCGGTTCACCAAGAGACCACATGGGGTATGGAGCCCACAGAGCTTGCTAAGGCATAAACTGCTTCATCTTACCATTCGTGCCTCAGTCTTCGGTGCGGACTTTATGGGGTGGCTGTGGCCACTGGAGGCTGCTGGTTGAGAATTTGGGATTCTGATGTCCCACCAAGTGTCTGCCCATATTTCTCATGATGAGTGACCATGGGATATAGAGTTCCAGGACTTTAGAGGTGGAGGAAACACCAGAAATCATCTGGCATGATCTTGGGCCACAGCCAGGCTCAGAGGCCGGGAATTACTAGGGTCTTTCCAGAATCAGACGGCAGCACCAAGGCTGCTGGGACCAGCCTCCCAGCATGCACGACACACAGCAGAGAAGGCCCTGAAACACTGCCTCCAGCAAGCTCTCAGCTCGAGTGGCCGGCCAGTTCGACACTGCCGGAGCAACCAAGCTTCTCAAAATCAAGGTTCTAAAAAGTTATCTATTTTTAGGGCTCCTGATGCCAATTCCTAATAAAGACTTCATCATTTTTCCTCAGAGATGACCAGGTTCCACATGAGGCCTTGTGTTCAAGGTCTTCGTCTCTCTGTGACCCTTCTCTTGAGAAATGGGGACCGGGTGGCCCTCTGTGCGCCAGGCCCTGGGCTAGAAGCCTTACACATGAACTAAGGTGGGAATCATTATCTTTGCTCTACAGATCGGACAGCGATGGTGCCGGGGAGCTGGTCTGAGAGCCCAGGCGGGCCCAGGCTCTTTGTTCTCCATGGTTCTCTTCCTTCTTTCTTGGAAATTTCCTCCAAGGGTGCAGAGTACAGAAGCTGCCTCTCAGGGAGGGGTTAGCCTGATGCCTCTGACTTCAGGAAGGGGGAGGGCTGCAGGCCAGGTGCAGGATGCGATGGTGAGAGCTGATGTCAGGGTGGGTTGCCGCAGGTTATGCCTAAGGGTTGCAGACATGCTTTCCAGCAGCGGCAAGGAAGCCTCTCTTTGGGTAGCCCCTGGATCCTGGGAGCTGCCCACACCCTTGGTCATGAGAATATAAAGTCCAAGGGCAGCTGAGATGCCTCCGTCTAGCCAGGCTCCTACCTTTGGAGAGTCTGGCGTTTACAAACCTACCATTTTCAACCTTGTTTTGTACCAACACAGTCGGAACCACAACCCACTCGGTAACCGTGGGTCTCCAACACAAAAGAGCTTCATCGAGAACCCCTGGCCCACAGGGAGAGGTGTCAAAAGGTGGGGAGGACTAGGGTGTTTCCTGACACCAGAGAGGCACATCCCTTCTTTGGAAAAAATCTGCTTTTCTAAACCATAAGCAACAGCTGGTTGGCTCCTTTTGCTAAAGATGTTGCTCTCATTAGTCATTTTAGTGTAAATGATAGTGCAGCCCGGAGCAACAGGACCTACATTAACTAGCAGACTAAGCCCTCCTAGTGATTCGGCATATGGCTCGGCACTGACGGATATAAATGCTCACTGTGAGGTCGGCGGGGGGAGGACGCAGTTAAAGCATGAGGGAAAGCGCCTGCCCCAAGTGTCACACGCTGGGCGGGCAGAGGCTGGCCTTGAACCTCCGTTCCCACACCCCCCCATCCCAGTTTGCTGACCTGGGCTTGATGCTTTCTCCCAGGCGTGGGTGGCCAGAGCTGGCATCTGAATCTCTATCCTGAAGAGGTTTGAAGCCAAGCAAATGCACAGTCCCCCTGCCCCTGCAGCCTGCCCTGTGCCACGGAGCCAGGGCTGGGGGACACGCTGGGGCCTTCTGGGATGGTTTGCAAGGGAGCAGGTCCTCCTTGTCAAAGCAGCTGCCCCGGGAAAGAGGAAGAAGAGGCGGTGGAGGAGACAATGCAATTGTTTCCGTGTCTAAAAGTAGAGTAATACTTGAGAGGCAAGCGAATGCGAGACCAAGCCAAATTACACATAATTTGAAAAACTTATGAAAGAACATAAATAAGAGAATTAAGGCAGGTACTTATGATCGACAAATGATAGAAGGAACCCGCCGGGTGGAAAAGGTGCAGAAGAAAAATGCCGACCCGAACTCCCGCTGCAGGTGCTGCACAGAAAGTGCAAATTAGGAAGGTAATTAAGACAAGAAACCAAAGTGACTGGAACGCTATTAGTCAGCCGCTGCCCCTTTCACAGCACCGCCATTAACTCTGGTGCAAAGAGGGAAAATGAACACCAAACCCGCGTTTGTGATGCGGGCGGGGAGGCCAGCCCGAGGACACACTGGGGGACATAAGCTCTGAAGCCGAGCCAGCCACCTCCAGTCTCCCCGGCTTGGAAGGTGGGGTGCCTGCCTCTCTCCATCTCCCCATCCCTCCCAAATCTCTCTCTCTCTGTATCCCCCATGGGGGACAAGAATAACAAAAAGGGCCTGTGTTTTTATTGAGATGGACCTGGGCTCAAATCTTGGTATATTATTTAAGGTTCTTATAAAAATGCAAGTAGGGTTGAGAAGCATGGGGTGGCCTTGGAATGGCCCTCTGGCCAGATGACGCTGCCACATTAAACACGGGCTCAGTTCCAGAGCAAGCCTGAACATCCAGTGACACGTTCGCAGGTCCTGACAGGTTACTTGTTAAAAACAGAAATAAGACCCTTGGAGATCGTGGGGACCGTGGGGCCATGTGCAAGGGGACATGCCCATCCCCAACAGCATCTGGGGCTTCCAAGGGTGCCAGGCGAGCTCTGCTTTGATTCCTCCTCCGCTCCTGCCCGTCTAGGCACTGTCACTAAGCCAGGAGATCGGTAGTGTGCAAGGTGAGGGATTGTGTCACATGAAACTCCCGTAGGAGCTTCCTGCCCATAAAGGCTTGCTTTTGGCTGCCAGGAGAGTCGACCTATCTGTCCTGGACACACCGTAGGCACGCTGCCGCCTCCATGCCCGCTCTGATCTGGCAGCCTGGCTTAGCCTTCTGGGGAGACTGGTCCACAATATGTTCACTCCACTGCCTGGCCCATCTTTGGCTACAGATTTCTAGCAGGAAGGGAAACCAGTAACGTGGGAACTCTGATCACATCATATGTTTACTAAACAAAATGTTGGTATAACCACCCAGGCATTGCTACAGCATCCCCGTGGAGCCTGGCAAAGGCCTTATAAAGGATGGAAATGATCAAGTTTGTGTTTTTTGAAAAAGTAGTTCAACACACGTTTCTAATGTGGATTGCTAACCCTGCTATTCACATTGGGTAAGCTGAGCGTTGGGAAAGATGAAAAATAGAGGTGGTCCAGAGGAGCCGAATTGAGCTCAAATTCTTATCAATATCAATAAAGTCCTGTCTTAGAGTGTATTAAGAGATGTTGATCACGGAAGATACTCTCACACGTATCCCCCTTTAGTGAAAATAACCACCTTCCTACTTAATGTTTCCAAGTATGCTTTTGGAGCATCTTCTGCTGTCTCCAGCCGGGCTCTGCTCACACATTGATGGACCCAGAAAACCGCTCCCCCAATCCCTGCTGCCTCCAGCTGCAGCAAACAGCAGGGGAGGAAGCATCTCCTCATTGGTGTGAATGAGGACAGACTCCCGCAGCCACATCTTTAAACAAGTGAAGGCATCCTGTCAAACAGCCACACGCAAGAGTCCATTTCAATCTGCTCTAGTTTTCAGCATGTAGGCAAAGATCAGTTCCCTGTGTTCCCACAGAGAAAAAGGGAGTGCAAGCCTTTGCTGGCACAGGAAACCCTGAGCCATTCTAACCAGCAGGCCCTGCCCCGTGCCCAGACTCACCCCTGCAGCCACTCTCTTTCACCGCGTGCCACTGTTGCCACACCCGGGTTTGCCCTCCAGCCAAAGGGCTCACTTACAGGTCCAGGGACAGACCAGGGCGGAGGGTCAGGAAGGGCAGCCTGGTCAGCTCCCTGAGCCTCTGTCCAGTCACCAGGAAGAGAGTCCTCACCCACCTTCCAAGGACCCCAGCAGGCAGGGAAGCAATTGGTGGCTCGGATCTGACAAATCCGTAGCATTAAGCGGACAAGGTTCTATTCTGGGGATAGAACTCTAATAAATTACCAACAAAACTCCCTGGGGTTTAGGAAGTACTAAAAACCAAAGAAGCTCAGCAAACATGAAGGGGCAGGACGAGGGAAGGACATTAGGGGGTCAAGAGTGTGGCCTGGAAGGAGCTGTTTCCCAAACAAGTACCTCCTGGTGTAAGTGGGCTCGTCTGAGGCCGGGGCTGCAGACAGTAGCTCTAAGTGCTGGCCCAGCCCCAGTCCGTGGGGAGGCACCCAGAGCCACCCTGCACCCTGGGGTCCCCACCCACAGTCACAGGGCTCTTTCTGCCTGGCCCTAGTCTGTCTGAGGTGACTGCTCTAGGGTCGGAGGGAGAGGAGAACGCTGACGGAAGCCACCCCCATGGTTCCATCCCCGTTTCAGAGCTTCACAAACCCCTGGAGGGCAGTTGTAGCGGGAATTCAGCCAGAGGTCCCTCCTTGGTGGAAACATCTGCTGGGAGCGTGCGCACATGCACGCACACAGTTAACAGCCCAGCGTCTCACCTGCTTCACGAAAAGGGTGCTCTTCACAGAAGGACTGGGGATTCCTGGGGGAAAGGCAGAGACAGCTGACAGCTGGTGTCCTCCATTCTGCGCTCCATGGGAACCAGCAGTCACACAGGACTTGCCCTGCCCAGAGGATCTCGCAGCCCTTGGGAGGCAGACGGGTGCTGACCCCTGCTGCCCCTTCTCCAGATGCCATATGAAGACGCACGGCAGTCTGGGGCCCAGGTGCCTTGTTAAAGGGAAAGTAGCCTGAGGCCAGCTGCCTGACCCGCCCCAGCCCTGCCCGTGGGCGCACCTGGCTGCATTCTGCATCACCAGCTCTGCATCACGAGCCCGAGGCGGGGGCACCTCTGAGGGGGACTTAGTCATGGTTTGGTCATTCACATGGACTTGAGGTCCTAAAGAAGTTGGGAAGAAAGGAGATTTCTTCACCTCTTTGGAGGACTTGAGAACAAAATTAGACTTGGCAGTTGCTTAAGGATGCTGAGTAACCTAGGATGCAAGTCCATTTACCACTCTGCCTACTTGACTCCCACCAAAGTATTTCTAAAAAAACAGGCAAGAAAAAGATCTTGCTGTCTCAGATCACTATTATGTTTTGCTACCTGGATGACAGGTACTATTACAATGCTTGTATCTAAGTGGGGGGCAATTTTTTCCCCCAGGGAGCTGCAGCATTTCACAGGAAGGTTAACAGAAGAGTAAAAAATAACTGCCTGGCCTTCTACAGCCCACTTCTGTGACTGCCAGATGCCAGGTGATGGATGGCCTTGCGGACTCCTCAGGCTGGGCCCCATGTTGTCACAGCCATTATGCATGAACCTGTCCTGGCCCTGCAGACAGAGCACCTGGCCAGGGGGCCCAATTAGAGCTGGGATTTTTCAGCTAAGCAAGGAAGGAAGGAGGCGACGCAGCCACAGATGGGAAGGTTAGGGGCTGTCATTATCCTGACTCTGTGTCTCATGGAAGATGCTGGTCTCCAGAAGGCAAGAATGAAGCTGGCAGGTGAAGAAGAGCAGCGACAGATAAAGCAAATTGGGTCCTAAAAGTGTTTGTGTCTACTTTTCATTTATCCCTGCAGACTGAAGCCTGGCTGACCTCTGCCCTCCCTGTGGGTCTGTGAGATGCGCCAAAATCCTTTCACTAACCTGCTTGCTTCCTAAACCCCGCTCAGGTCTCACTGTGCAATTTGCAACCAAAAGACTCAATAATTCAGCCAAACTCTGTCCTAGGCACTATATGATGATTATCTAACTTAATCTAATTAAATCTAATTTCACTGCACAATTGATATTGTTGTATTTTCCAGAGGTGAACCAGGGTTCAATTTCGAGCAACATGCCAAAGTCACACAGCTTAAAAGATATTCACCCACGTGTTCCTGCCGTCTCGTAGCACATCACACTGACTTCTGTGCTTTTAAGACCATTAAGACCTCTCTTCATTAGGACCCAAACGGAATGGGGTCACTGACCACAAAAGTATCCATTTGGACACCATCACGCTGCGAATTCTATCAAACAGCCATCAGGTGTTGGGCCCTGCGTAGGATACAGACATGTGAGACATGGTTCCTATCTTTAAGCCGTTCACCGTCTAGAATATTATTTTGGGGGGGACATAAAATTAGAAACTCATTTCTCCGTTCAAAACGTTTAGAGAGATCTTAAGCACAGTGCTGAAATATCAGAAAATCCAGAACTGGAGACAGAAGGGAGGCAAGGAGACTGGCTGGGAGATTGCTGCTCACAGGCTCGGCGTGAGGCCAGGTTTGAGCGGGGCATCGGCCCCCGAGCATCGCCAGGTGCTGGCTGGAACAATACCGGGATGAAGTCGGAGAAACTAGCATAATGGCATCGCCTCAAAGAGGAGACGCGCAAAGGGAACGAACTGGGCAACTGAGAAGACATTCAGTGGACATGCTTTCTAGGCAGCTCCAAACGCACAGTGGCCTGGGAATGAGAGTATGAACTCACGGAGCCACGTGCATCCGGTAACACCGAGTGTGAAGGCACTGTTCTGGGCGCGTTAGCTGGATTGTTTCAATTAGTCCTCTGAACAACACTGTGAAATCAGGACTGTTAGCCTGGTTAGGGATCTAGGAAATGGTCCCTGCAGCCCCGGGCTGTCTTCTCTCCCACCTCCCTACATTGCCTCTGTGCAAATCCTCATTAGCTCCATTACCACTTCAGTGGCTATTATCTCCACACAGTTAAACATAATCTTGCAGTTTCACTCCTCCTAAGACTTTAGGCACATAAAAATGTTTCATTTATATTCTTATTTTGAAC